CCCCGCGGTACCACGGTACCACGGTACACACAGAATATACAGAGTATTATACATCCAATACAGGATCAGGCAAATCCTTTGCTTAGCTATTTGCCGGACCATTCACCGGCGAGTACGAGGGATGTTAAAATATAATAATATAATATTCCATCTTCCATCGGTTTCTAAATATTAAATTAATTCTCCTATACACTATACTTTATTATTATTTATTATTTTATTTTATCAACCAGTTGAGGGAAATTGGCCAGACGAAAAGCGAAAGGAGCGATATGATACGCAGAGCCAAAAGAAAAAAAAAAAATATTAAAGAGTAATATATGGAGAAGAGAATAAGACAAGAAAATATATAATGCGGGATAAACAAGAGGGAATGAGTAACGGTGGAGTTTTATGGCCGGCTAAATAACAAGGTGCGAGGGGAAACGCCAATCAGGATCTCGAGATAATGACTCCTTTCAGAGTGCCGCTACTAGGTGATGGTATTAATCGCAATTCACCCCTACTCTTATCTTTCTTTGATGCACTTCATATCAGATTTTTATTATTCGTCAATTCACTTGTTTCATATTTATCTTCTTCTTTTTATACATTATTATTATTATTATTATTAAATTCTTAAAAGATTTTTCTCACATGCGTGAGCGTAATTCTTTTCTCGAACTAACAAAAATTAAAACAACCGGGGTTAAATTTATAATATAAAAATGACCAATAGATTCGACTATAGTTGTAGTTAAACAGGATAAGTGCATTGGCATCTGAATTTTCATTTGCATCTCCATGATAAAAGCCACTCCTGTGAGTGGCAAATCAGCATTCTCGAGATGCCTCATATTTTTATTATTTATTGTCTTTCATGTTTGTTGAGGAAAAATTGCTGGTTTACACAGACGAGTTTCTTCACTGTTGGTTTAGATAAATATATTTAAATTGTTTTATAGGTTTTAATAACTAATAATTGATGATGATGAAGAGAATTTTACGAGGAATTTTTAGATATAAATTGCTTTTTATTTTTGTTTGGATTTAAAATTGATGATTTAGCTGATGGGGATTTAATATTAAAAAAAAAAAAAAAAAAAAAAAAAAAAAAAAAATGATGAGTAAACAATTAACAAAGGTTAAAACGAAAAATGGCAAAGTACGTTGATTAATAAAAAAAACAGATAGATTGCAGGTGCGCATCAGTAATGTGATGTGCTCTTGAGAATAGAGTATACTATATAGTACGAGTATCGAGGAATGCACGCGGATCCTGATAGTTGTAGATGCTGAGAAAGGCAAAGAGTTGGCTACAGGCTGGAGCGACCTTCTAAGGCCGCAACCAGTAGAGCAACAGAGTTGCTATTTTATTTTTATTTTATTTATATTATTTTTCCTCAAGTTGTTATGTGCAGCTCCTATATACAAACATAGATAGTGACGTTCTCTTCTCTACTCTCTGAGCAAGTATTCGTCGTATCTGAGGTTACTGCAAGTTAAGTCCAGCATATAATCGGGCAGAGCTTACATCCAAGCTGTGATGCTGTTATGTACCTATACCTGAGTATTCACTTGTACAGGACTTGGATAAAACACCAACAACTTTTTATTTATATAAACATGTTGAGACTTGTATACACAGCTGACAGATACTTGGACAATTTGACACAACCGATTGCAAAATTGTTGCTATAGTTATCCTCATCCTGCTATTCATCCTCATATACTACTTCATTTACACTATGTAAACTTTATTAGTTATTATTTATTATTATATTTATTATATTATTTATCAGCACGTGCTTATTATATCAAACATCACTCTTCTTCAATAATGATTTTAATTTTTATGTAAATTTGTTTTTTTTTTATTTCTTTTGGTTAGATATATAGAATAATAAACATTAATTAATATAATAATCCTGATGAATAAGGTATATAATAGTATATAATAATAATAATAATAATAATAATAATAAATATTGTTATATTATACTACAGTGTAAAATCAACAGCAAGTAATTTAGCTAATAGCATGTTTTTATTTTCCTAGAAAATAAAATAATAATTTATGCAGCATTCCAATCGAATCGACTGGAGCACCGAAGGTTGTGAAATCGGTAGATAATAATTCACTTGGTACGGCCGGGACGCGACTTAACCATTTTTTGCCTCTCGTCCGTGACGTGAGGCGTAAAAACAATTTGCAAAAACATCACCGAGACTACTTGTCCTATTTATATTTATACTTATATACTCGCACTGTCGTACTTAGTTCTCTATTCCAATTAGTATTATAACCCATATAATAGCTTACGCTCTTTTTAATTATTATTTATTTATTTATTTATTTTTAATTCTATGTTGGTTGTTGTTAAATTATGCCACCGACCAGGAATACCGTCAATTATAAACTCTCTAGCTCATGAGATTTAGGTCAAATTTACTTTAGATTTTCAAACATTTTTAATTTATAATTTTATAATTACTCATGGTGCAATTGATTGTTATTGAAGTTAGGTGGAATCAGCAGGCAAAAGCCAAGTAGAGAATAATAAATTAAAGGTAAAAGACGGGTGAGGATAGGGAGGATAGGGAGGATAGGGCTCTGGGTGCATGATGAACCTTCTAAGGGGATCGTCACCAAAATAACTTAAAAGTATTCTCCTGACCGGTCGACAAACTCAAAAGATATATCTATACCTATATATCTGGCTATACAGACATTACTCGGTCTAGTGTATATATTTATCTTAACTTGATACACTTATTTATATCCAGACTCTGATTATTTTCTTATTGATTTATAAAAAATTAGTAGACTGGTTGCGGTTAAAAGAGACCTATAAAACAGATAACAGATCAATAAGATTAATATTTTAAATTTAATTAGTATATTGTGTCCTTTACTGCGTGTTGTGTCGTTGTGTCGTCGTGTCGTCGTTACGTGTGGTGTCCCAAGACCAACAACTGGATTAATCCGACTCGATACCTATAACAGCAGTAGAGCAACAAACACCCAGCACCTTGTTAATGCCGAATGCACGACGGCGACACTCTACTCGACTTGAGTTGGCAAGATGCTTTTCTACGTATAAATATAGCCAAGACATCATCGTCATGTTCCCCGTCTACAGTCTACAGTCTACAGTCTACAGTCTACAGTCTAGAGTTTACTGACGATATATATATTATATATATATATATATATATATATATGTTATGTGTTCCGTACCAGCGGCCCTGAGGAATAGCAATCTTGTCGCCGACACGCCAGTTTTATTTGAAACAAAACAAAAACTATCAACTGAATTACTTTCTCAAAATTTACTCTAATAATTACATTTATTTATTTATTTATTTAAGGTATATAGTTTTACTTCAACAGAGTAGTGCAATCTATAAGAGCCTCGAATATCATTGTAAATTTTAAATCTCAAGAGAATTTATTGTAAATTATTATTATATCATTAGTTGTTGCTGTCTGAAATCTGTAACAATAAATCTTTTATTAGGAAAAATAAATAATTCAAGTTTAATGGCAGTAACAAGAGTTATTTTTTTATTTTTCTTATACCCAAGAATCTAAATCGATTACTTTTTACATATAGTTATTTCTGGTCACGTCAAGAGTGGCGCTGGTCTGATGATAAAAACTTTTTCTAATATCTCTCTCCGTTACTCAAGGGCATAATATAAAAAAAAAACTTTTCCATATAAATATAGAAATAATAACAGTACATAGAAACCTTAATCGAGGGATTAACGTCTGAGAGCCACACAGTTTATCGCCGAAACCACCGAGCAATATTTGTAATTAATCTATATCGTTTATTTCATAAGCTGGCAATTAACGATATAAATCTTGTCTTTACCCTTTATCCACTAATTTTTATACTAATTGCACATTTTAATCTATAAAAGCATCTGGTGGATATATTTATTTTAGTAATACACAAGTCTATATTTTTTATAATACGCATTAATAAGGCGTTATATGCGCACTTATATTTTCCAATGAAAGTTAATTTGGGTTTTTTTTTTGTCAACTGTTTTAATTGGTATTTAAATATAGTAATAAATTAAAATAGGAATTACCCATTAATTTAAGTGTTATTTCACTCTATTGTTTAAAAGCAAATCACAAAGTACATTATCTTTCTCTGGTTTTCCCTAACTAATATAGTTATTGATCGTTAAAAAATCATTACAATTTCGGAATAGTAACAATTTGTCGGAGGCGTTAGTAGATAAATAATTATCGATATATATATATATATATTATTTAATTCTTTATATGTTTTACCGGAATTCCCGCTACGCGGGGTTTTCTCGTTTTTTTTTTTTTTTTTTTTTCATGTTTTTAAAATAAAAAAATTCAAATTCTAAAAACTTTTAAATTTATTTTCATAAAAAAATGACGTTAGGTAGCAAAAAAAAAAAAAAAAACAATCGTAGGTAGTAACTAATAAAATAAATGGAATATCGTGGCACGATTGGTCGTAAAACAATAGTATATACATACGTACGTAAGGAAAAAATATAATCAGCAATACAAGTACCGCGTGGGAATAAATAATGGGTATGTGCCATTCGATTAGAGATATCAATGTGCATTGATAACAAGTAATACCATGCACACGCTCTAACTCTTTAATTTTCGTCATACGTTGAGTATGACGCAGTTTACAGCCGCTCTACCGTCATATACGTTGGATATCTCCGTCTCATACAATAACAATGCTGTTATTAATATTATATGCCCCTGTATGATGCATGATGCCTGATGGATTCCTGATAATTTCTGATACGCTGGACTCGGACTATGATGCTCAAACAAAAGCTTCTAAGACATATATATATATATATGCCAAAGCACACCTGCAGCTCTAGTTACCAGTCACACTTTTTACTAACTCAACAGTATTAATATGGTCTTTTTCTGTTTTATTTTTTGTTACTATAAGCTTAAGCTCAATTATAATATTGTCTATAGTGTCTTTTAAATGTAGATTATGTTAAAGTCGATAATGTCCTGGCATAATTCGCGGTATCTTGAGCACACGACAGCTAAAAAATATCGCGGGCAAATTTCTGCTTGTTTCGATCAATTTCGGCGTCAAATTTTATCGGTGAGTTTTATTTTATTTTTTCAAGTTCTAATTCTAATAATATCAGACGAAAATTTAATTAAAGTTGAGTAACTTTCGATAATTACTCTGAATATTGAATGTTAATATAAATAAAAAAAAAAAAAAAAAAAAAAAAAAAAAAAAAATAAAGAAGGCATTGAACAAATAAAATAGTTTGCACGTGCAGTGCAACAAACGGCAGTAAAAAAATCACTGTCAATATTATTTAAATTTTTATAGCAAATTTGACGTTGTTAAAAGAATAAATAAATAAAAATATATATATATATATTAGGTATATCTGTGGAAGTAAAACATAAATAATAAAACAATATTATCTTTTTCTACTTGATGTTTTTTAAAATCTTGAAAATACTATATAATATACATAAGCGATTTATTGTCGTATATGACGATATTATGGATGATATTGTAAAAAGAATAAATTTTATGTATTTGTTAAGCGTGGTGTGTCAAGGTTGAAATTAAACTTAAAAATATACGTACATGTTTTTATTTTATTTTATTAAAATTACACGTGCTGTTTAATCGCGTCTTAACAACACTCATTGCACCTGTGTACAATTTTATTATGTTATGCAACATTGATCCTCCGTCCATGCACTGTCCATGGTTATTATATAGACATAATTTGTTTAATACAATCTCATTTACGTTAAAATTAATTTATTTATACGCTGGATAAAATAAAATTATTATGATTTTATTGTTATAAATAAATCTTTGGATTTAACTCATAATATGTTTATATATATATATATATATATATTAATCAGACAAGGTCAATATTGTATTTAAAGAATAATAACAAAAACAATATGTTTATTTATTCTGCGGTAATCGATAATTGTCTCGAGTTTTTATCAATTATTATTATATAATAAGTACTTGCAGGTACTTGCGATTAAATTGATACCAAAATATTTTAATATATATTAAAAAAAAAAAAAATTTTTCTATTGAGAATAAAAGATAATAATAATAATAATAATATTTTCTTATATATAGTTTTAAATCCGATAAAAGATATTTATATATTATATTACATTAATTAATTATTTGGTAATGTAAATAAGACATATATTATCAAGTGATGACGTCGATTGTTTATATTGTCACAACAATTAGGTACTTTGAGTGTGTAGTAATAGATAAAAAAAATAATTTTTTTTATTTTTTATTTTTATTGTATTCTAGTTATCACCGAAATTAAGTAAAGAAAAATAATTTAAACAAACAAATAGAACAATATACAATTGTGCGTTGTGCGTAAGCTTGAAAAAAAAGTTACGCGTATAATTAAATTTAAAAAACAAACAAAATAAGTATAACATATTAAGTGTATTCATTATTCGTTATCTTTATTGTTTTTTTTTAACTTTACTAATTTTGTCTGGCTCGATATGGCTGACGCCTATTTTGTCTTCTATACAGCAGTTATTATTATTATTATTATTATTAAGAATAGTGATAGACGATCGTAGATCTGTAATGTGTACTTTTAAGCGGTTGGGTTCTATTCGACTGTTGTAATGTTACTTACTGTAAGTATTAACTTGGATAATTGAAATAACAATTAGTCGAATGTATTACATTGATGATTATTGTTGTTGAAAAAAACCCAAATGACGGTAATTGCTTGAGGATATCTTTGTTGTTGTGCCCTCGGGAGTAGTGTCATTAACAATGAATTTTAGGTTTTACTATATATATATAATATTATTTTGCAATTATGCTTTTTGGAAGTTGGTTAAAAACAAGTTTTCAAGGCAGCTAATGGCCTTTTAAACGAAAAAATAAGATTAAGATAGAATTTTTTAGTTTTTAAAAATTATCAAGTTAAAATTTTGATGGTAAATTTTTGAAAACGAAAATTCAGAGACCTTAAAACAGAATAGAATTATATAAGTATTAGAGTATTATAAAATGAATGAATATTAATTTATTTAGGTGGAATTGAGGAAGTGGATATTATTGAGTATACATTTGGATTACGTAAATATTTTAGCAAATAAACAACAAAATAAAATAAATAACGGATTATATATTGATCAGTAATTTAGTATAAATTAACGTCGGCCTAATAAATTAGTGTGATTATCGAGGCTTGACACTTGATTAATAAAGATAAACGAAAACAAAATATTGAACAAGCTCATATTGAGGATTCAGCCACGCGCAAGCGGCATGATCGTGATCGCTATGTATATAATAAGGCAATTACCGGTCTCATATGAGCAGTCGGGACTCGGGAAATAATAATTTTTACTGGTATGATCTGTCCGTGTTCGCGTTTATTTGCGAAATATCCAAAATTAAAGCTCAATCGATATATGTGAAGAGTCTCGCTGATAATTGATAAGCAAATTACATTGATTATTCACACATATTCGAATATTACTCGCACTTGATTTTTTTTTTTTTTTCATAATTAACTTAAACTATCTCTTTGTTGTAAAGCTTTGATGTAAAAATAATAAAATATATATATATATATATATAAATGTACAAATGTGTTGCCACGTGATTGGTATGGAAACACGCCAAAATACCGCGGACGCATTACACAAAGCACGAGACCTCCATCCATCTTTATATTATTTATTTTTAAGTTACGATAAATTTTTATTGCAAGAGTATATTGTCAGAATAGACATCTGAAAATGTTTAAATCTTTTCTTGAAAGAAAATAAATTAGTACAAAGGAAATTTTTTTATTGCTATTAATTAATTAATTAATAAAGATTAAAGGTATATAAAGCATATCTTGGTATCAATGCGTAGATTTATAAAAATAATTAATTTTAATGTTTAATGTTTATTTACGTAAATGGAGGAGATGTTCGCCTTTGCTCCTCACAAAAGATAACCAATTAATAATAACGTGAGTGCGAGTAGAGGCGTCAAAGGCCGAGAAACTCAACTCTACCGGAATGGAAAGCTTCCATCAACTGTCTAGACAAGCTTCCTCGGAAAATTTATCCTCGAGGTAAACAAGTTGTGTGCTAAAATATGCAATTCATTTGTAAATTAATCTTTAGTTACTAAAAACACCGATAAATTAAAAACAATCAAGTTCAATATCATATTATTACGTTATTGTACTTGTCTTAAATATTTTTTAAATGTTGAAATCACTTTCGAAACCTATTGTTTGGAAATATTACAGATAATTATTATTATTATTATTATTATTATTATGTTTAAAACCTGAAATTCATTAGATTAATTTATATATCGGTGTTTGATAGCGTATTTTATTAGTATCGATTATCGGGTATTTAACCCAGATTAGTCAGGAAGTTTGATCTTGATGATGATGATGATGCTCTTGATAGACTCTCGAGATTCAGAATTAACAATTAGTTGGTGCATCAATTAGCTCAACTTCCTACCGGTACTTTGAATAACTGCTTTCGGATGTCCAATTACTACTTCCACACTAATAATTAGTCTCTGTATGTTTTTTTTTTTTTTTTTTTTTTTTTTTTTTTTTTTTTCTTTTAATTATTATTTAACACCAATAAACATAAATATTGGTATGTAAAATCATTGATCAACATTCATAAGCAACCAATTATTGTTGTTTTTGTTTAATTATCAGTGGACTTTGTCCTGTCATCAACACTCGCAGCGTAGTGACTTGTAAAACGAATTGCAATCACGTAAACAAGATATAAATGATCCGCAATAATAGCAGTAAAAAAAAAAAAAAAAAACTATTATTAATTCTAGTTCTAAAAAGTTAAAAAATACGTGTAAGCATTAAAATTAAAGCCTTGATACAGTTACCGACTCTTTCGGCTGCCATCTGTCATTTTTTTATTGCAATTTATCTTCCATTCCATAAGTATCTACTGTTGACAACTAATTAATTTTCTTGAATTTAATTTCCTTAATTATTTATTTCTATTAAGGATTATTTATAGAATTATAGAATATTGCTGCTACAGACAGCAAAATCATCATGACATATCTTACTCTGTTTATTATTATTATTATTATTATTATATTAATTTAAGGGTTATTGGTCTGTAAAGTTAATAAATATAATTGACGAAATGAATAATCAAGTGTACTTGCCGACGTAACTTGAAATAGAATAAAAAGAAGAAAGGGTTAAGAATTTTTATAAAATTGTTGACCGGATGAGAGTCAGAATGCAATCGACTGTCGAGACCGTTACTCGTGTAGTCGTCGGATCCAGCATTTCCCAGAAGTTCTCTGTAAACAAACAAATACACGACGACGATACCAAAGACTATACAGATATTATATATATGTTCTTGTAGCATTTAAGAATGCGCGCGCGGATTTTCAGACTGAACCTGAACATTCTAGCTGGTTGCTCTCTCCCTCTCTCCCTCTCTCCGACCCTCGATGATACCTTCTGGTAATCCCACGTGGGTTTGGACCAGAGTGGGAAGAATTTGTGGCGCCGTCGTTGGAATTTTCTCACTATACGCCTTGGACCTTATACGTTTATACAGTAAGAAGACTTTACTGCGCGCGCATTGTTCCTATGTATATTTACTACCACATACTTCCCCACCACGTCAATACTAAAGATCCCAGTAATTTCTTTTATTTTTTTTCTATTATTCCACCACCAGATTCCTTTTCCTTCTTTTTTTTAATTATAAATATATAATATATTTTCCTGGTCATTTATTATCTTATACACCCGCCTTTTTATCGAAATTTTTGGCGTTTTGATGATTATTTTGCTTAGGAAAATATTTAAATTAAAATAAACGATTATTTTTTAGCCAAAAAATTGATTTAAAAAACAAATTTTCAAGATTGATATATATATATATATATATATATATATATATATATATATCTATCTATGATTGCGGGGGCAGAAAAATAAAAAAAAAAAAAAAAAAAAATAAATAAATAAATAAATAAAAGCCTCGAGTCCGGAGTAAAGCCGTAAGTGGGGAAAAATGTAGAGTCTAGAGTCTACTAGAGTGAGTAGCTGGTATGTTAAGGGGCAGTGGTGGGGGATCGACGCTTAGGGCGGACACTTTTCCCCCAGCAGCCGAGTGGGGAAGGGGATGGGGAAGGGGAGAGGGGGGAATAAAGCGCGGGCAACCAGCACCGAGGAATTGAGCAGTTGGGAAACGGGCGCTGTTGCCGAAGCTCTCAGCTCTCAGCTCTGTTTACTTCTCGGTTACAGTTCAGTGTAAGAACGGTTTTCGGAGAGTGTACATCTTTCTTAATATTATTATTATATTAAAGCCTTCCGTCCTGTTACAACAACCAAACTTACAATTACAAACAACTGTTGTATTTAGACTTTACAACTATACAATTATTACTATAAACTAAACTAAAAAATACTTTTAGTTACTTAGTTGACAAAATATAAAGTTTGTTAAGTTTTGTTTATTTCGAAATTTTATTTCGTTTTGTCACAGTGGCTTTAAACATCCAAGCTGGATTCCAACAAGCAGTTTACGTCGCGATTACATCGCGGCTATCGACAGCTTAAGAAATTCTTCAAGGTAAATCACCAGTGTTTTATTTTTATTTTTTATCCAAATTTAAATTCAATTTTTATTATTTTTTTTAATTTTTAAATAAATAAAAAAATTTTACACAAGTAAATAAAATTAAAAAAATAATTTTACATGTCGTACATAATTATAAAAAATTTTCATGGGAAAGTTGTGTACGGATGTAACATAAATCTACTAGATATTATTTAAAAAAAAAAAAAGGTTTGGGTTTTTGTATATACCTAAAATTTAATACAATTTAATACAATGTATAGGTATTGCTAAGCAGCTGCTAAAATTTTCCCTCTACTCTTTAAATCTTTAAAATATCTCCCCTATTTAATAAAAAATATTTAAATATACCAATTTTTTATTTATATAAATCAAGCGCTAAAGTATGAAAAAATTATTAAATTGATTCGCTTAGCAGTAAAATTTCAGTTTTAATAATAAAAAAATTTAACTTGATTATTTATTAAGTAATAAATAAGGTATTGATCTACATATAATAAAATGTTTGTAATTAATAATAAAAGAAAAAAATATTTATCAAATAAGGTTAATATAATATCAAGTGTTACAATGTGATGACATTTTTACAGACGATAAATAACATAGTTAATACACTTTCAATAATAACTTATTGTTATTGTTATTTATTTTTTACATATTCGGGTTATATATAGATTGTTTTCCTTCTTCGTATAAGTTGTTTTATTGTAACAAATATTTGAGTTAGTGTTATCAATATTGTTGTTATTTTTTTTATTTTAATAATATACTTTGAGAAAGAGAGAAAGCTAGCGTTGGATTTGAATGTATCGGCGCGTACACTCTGCTGCACATTTTTCATCGTCTGCGAATGCAAAACATCTCATTCACAAGTAAAAGTTGTATGTAAAACTTGTACGCTTTAAGAATTGTCGCTTACGTCAGAGTTAAAGAAAAATGTTTTTTTTTTTTTTTTTTTCTCTCTTCAATTATTTAGAGTAATAAAATTGAACATGAAAAATATAGATTTAATTTAATAAGAGAAAGAAAATACTGTTGAGATTAAAAATTAAAATAATAAAGATGTAAAAAGAAAAAGAAAAAAATAATAGTTGGCCGAGTGACTAGACTATAGCAAAAGTCCATTCATAAAATAAATACTGTAGAATAATTAACTGGAGCTGAGAAAAATAATTAATTAAAGCCATAGATAATAAAGACTATAACGTGAGTTAGTTGTACGTTCACACGCTAGGTACGTACTTTTATTTGTTGGTAGTAATAATTTTTAATTGCCCTTACTACACAGAATAATGCGTAGAAGACATAATACACATGTATGTATTGTATTTAACTGTGCAATGCGTACACTCACCTATGTGTGATTGATTCGTCTTGGTGGTAGTTTGTTGCCCTCTTTTATTACTTTTCTTACTATTTTTTTATGTTATTATATTTATTATATATCTTGAGTCGTAATACTATCTCAGTATAAAGCATAAAGCATAAAGCATAAAGCATCAAGTATTAAGCATACCAGGGTCACTGTACACTAAGAGGGGAGGGAGAATACTAGATAAGCAAATAAATAAATGAACAGGCTCTATCCACTAGTATGTTGTATAAGTAGATGTGTAAATGTGTAAATGTACAGTGGTAGTCAGTTTGTTCCCGGGCAAATGCGCCGCGAGGTCGATGCCCTTACACGCATGGTTGACGCCATAGGGTTACTCCTTCTTAGTATTTGTTCTGTACTAGTTTTATTTTTATTCTATCAATCTACCAATAGAAAAAATAAACGAAGATATTACGCGTTAAATAATAATACAACTAATGCGTAAATTTCTTAATATAATTTATTGATTTTTTATTAATAATAATAAACATTAATTTTCAAGATTAAAATACGTAGGATGATGATATTTAAAGGGAATATAATTGTTTATAGAAAAAAAATCAAAAGAGAGTGGTAGTGTGCTGGGTTGTTTCTTATACTCTTAAAAAAAAAAAAAAACAAATAAAATAACGATTTAATTATATTTATTCAAAGTTAGTCGTGTAAAGGCTCGAACCTCGATTGTGAAACCGGAAACAGCTCGATCACGCTGGCAATTCATGGGCTATGCTACCACTACACGTATTAGTATAGTAGACATAGTAGTATGCGTAGTATGAGTAGTATGAGTAGTATGTAGGCTTAACTTGTGCCTTGTGACGGCCTTCGGTTCGTACAGACCAAATGCCATTAATAAATAACACGATTATAAATATAAATATAAATACATATCTATATCTATATCTACTTTAATAATAATAATAATAATAATAATAAAATTAAGTATTTTCGATAAATAACTCCAGCTAAGCGCCAACTTGTAAACAACTTTTATTTTTAATATTTAATAAACTTTATTATTTCACTTATCAAAGTTTTGTTTTTTTATTTTTTTTGTTTTTAATTAAAAATTTATTAAGATTCCTCTTAAAGTTTCTGCGAGGAAAATTTTAAAATAAATAAATATTTAGCAAATAAAAGAGACAGTAGAGGAAATAATAAAGTGATTAGGGTTGCCAACGGGCAACTTGTGTCGGTACAAACGATCGTTAAACACCGGAAGTATGTATTATGTGACAGTTTTTAACATAGAGGAAGTAAAGAGGGTTCTTCATCTTCTTTTTCTTTATTTTATTTGAAGCCGTATCGTCGTCTACGTCTTGTTCTCTCTGGGAATAATTTACGTGGACGGATCGTTGAATTTAAATAAAAAATAAAAGTTTGGTAAAAAAAAAAAAAAAAAGCGTGTGTGGTCTAGATGTCGGAGCGGCGATAGCTCCAACGAGAGTAGTCACCTAAGCAATTGAACAAATATTGCTCAATATTTACCTGACGTCTCGGGTTCTGTTGAAAGACACAATCCGAGGCTTGGATTAATTATTAATTATTATTATTATTATTATTTTACCGAGTGTCTGTTTAATTTAAGAGATATTTTTAATTTTTAAATTATTGTGGGTTAAAAATACCTATAAAATTAATTTTTTAATAATAACAATAATAATGTTTTATGTTTCAGCGTGTCGCGAACCAGACGCTGAGTGTTTCGACACAACCCGCGGTAACGGTGGAGGGCCCGGTGTCTAAAATGTCTCCACCAACAAACGACGTCACCAGTGTGGTGGCGGCGGCAGCAGCGCCGCCGCCGCCGCCGCCGCCGCCTAATAATAATCTTCCGAGAGTCAACCCAGCCAATCCAGCCAATCCAGCCATCAACACCTTCCAGAATCACAAGCGTACGGCCAATGACTTTATTTTTGGTAAAGTTGTAGGTGAAGGCAGTTTTTCCACCGTAAGTTTATTTTATATAAACAATTAAAATTTTAAAAATTAAAAAAATTTATTTTTATTAAATCTAATATTTTATTTTTCAGGTCTACATCGCCAAAGACATCCACACAAACCGTGAGTACGCGATAAAGGTCTGCGAGAAGCGCCACATCATCAAAGAGAAGAAGACTGAGTACGTTAAACGCGAGAAAGAAGTGTTAAATATGCTCGCTGGAGCCCGTCACTCCTTTGTGAGACTCTTTTGCACCTTCCAGGATGTCGACAGACTGTATTTTGTGCTCTCCTACGCCAAGAACGGCGAGCTTCTTCCTTACATCAACAAGGTTGGCTCCTTTGACATCGAGTGCACCAAATTCTACTCTGCGGAAATACTCCGGGGCTTGGAGTATCTCCACGGATTGGGAATCATCCACCGAGATCTCAAGCCCGAGAATATTTTGCTGGACGAGAAAATGCACATCCTGATCACCGACTTTGGGAGCGCCAAGATCCTCAAAGAGGACCCGGAACAGTTAAACACTTCTGCAAAGACAATCTCCTCTAGAGGTTCTTCGGAGTCTGACCAAGAGCGACCTCGCCGACGGGAACGAAGAAATTCTTTTGTAGGAACTGCCCAGTACGTATCACCTGAGATCCTGACCGACAAACCTGCCTCGAGGGCGTCAGACCTTTGGGCTCTCGGCTGCATAATTTACCAGATGGTCTCTGGACTCCCGCCGTTTTATTCCAAGAGCGAGTACTTGATTTTCCAGCAAATTCTCAAGCTAGATTACGAGATTCCTGACGGGTTCTGTCCCCTGGCCAAGTCTCTGGTCAGCCAGCTTTTGATCATCGAGCAGACTGAAAGACTTGGTGCCATCGATGAACACGGATCAGGATATCCGAGCATCAGAGCTCATCCCTTTTTTGAGGGTGTAGATTTTGAGACTCTCCATGAACAAGTTCCTCCATCTATCTATCCATATCTCCCTGGAACATCAGAACACGAAGAGATGCGCTCTCACTACCGGGTTCCTGATCACCTGGAACCCGGGCTGGATGACAAACAGCTAACGAGGTTGCTTGGGCTTGGAATAGGTCAAGAAACTCAGGAAAAACCAGCTCCGGTAATCTCTGTGGTGAAGAAACCCAAACAGAAATCGAGTTCAAGTATTGTTGATTTGACACCCGGAGAGTTTCAGAGCAGATTGGAACTCCAGAGAACAACCAATCAGTGGCATCCTTTTGTCGATCATCAGGTTATCTTGAAACAAGGGTTCATTAATAAGCGAAAGGGATTGTTTGCCAGAAGGAGAATGCTCTTGCTTACTACTGGACCACACTTGTTTTATGTCGATCCTTTTAATATGGTTCTCAAGGGGGAGATTCCTTGGAGCAAGGAACTCAGGGTGGAGCCTAAAAATTTTAAGATTTTCTTCGTTCACACGGTAATTTTTTTTTTTTTATTTTTTATTTTTAAACCTAATTATTTTAATTAAATCTAATAATATAAATATATTTTTTAAATTACAGCCTGACAGAACGTACTATCTTGAAGATCCAGAAGGATTCGCCCTTGAGTGGTGCCGAGTTATCGAAGAAATGCGCGTCCACTACTACGGACTTCAGGAGAGTAAAAAATCCCATTAATTATTGATTAATTTTAATTAATTAATAAAATAATAACAATATCATAAATATAAAACAATGACATACTTGTCAAAATGTGTATGACTGCCCGGTCACTCGAATCCCCTCCGGTAAATTGTCCATGTACTATATATTTATTCGACAATTTGCCATTTATCAATAATGATAATTGATGATGATGATGATGATGATAATAATAATAGAAAAAAATTAAGTAACAGAGCTTTAACAGACATTGCCACTATTATTATTATTATTATTATTATAAAATCATTCCTGTAAATATTGTAAATAATTATCGGCTTTGTTGACTTTTATCAATTAATTAATTAATTAAGATTAGAGTTAACGTTGTGGATTTTAGATCCCGCGAAGTGACCGAGGCTGAATTTAGAAAAATAAATATCAATTGTCCGGCCTGGAACTTACTAGACCGGATAATTTTAGTCAATAATTATTAATTAGGTTAGGCTAGATTTATTGTTGTGACCTTTATTTAATATAATAATATAATGTTACTTAATTTCTCTATATAACTTTATTATTTATTATTTTACTCGTCAATATTTATTACTCTAAATTAATAATCAATAATAATAATAATATAAAAAGTGTCAATGCAACTAGTATTATAGTATTGTTATTGTAGTTAGATAAATTAATAATTTGTACCAATATTGTACAAAGTAATCGATTTAAAAAAAAAAAAAAAAAAAAAAAAAAAAGACGCTGTTTTTAAATACTGCCGTGTTGAAAGTCAGCAATAACAATGAAACTTTTAGTTGTCAGAAAAATCACCCGAGTGCCCTTTTTGTTTTACAATATTTATATTTATATTTAAATTGTTAGTAGGTGTAACTTGTAATAAAATATATATAAACAGGACACTTGGGTGAGTAAATTTTTTCTCCGACTTGTAATAACGATAATTGACGACAGGGTAGTTAGGACCAACCATGACAAATCTATACCAGCATGTCAAGGTGCTCGAAATAATAGTCTAATTAATAATTGATTGGAAGATTGTCCCCGGGCACAGTGATCTGTCCAAAATGACCGCTTTTGGCGGGTCGCGAACCGCTTGGGCGGGCGCTAAGACTGAACCGTTATTTTTCTCATGGTTTACTTCTAATTTTATTATTATATAATAATTTTTCCATGTCGGGGAGATAATTTATTTTAAAAGTAGAATGTGAAAGGGTTCAAGATGGACTTTGCTCGGTCTACGTTTTAAGTAGGCGCTGCAAATTTTTTATCGAACTCTCGATTGTTCTTAGACACTGTTGAAAGTTTTATGTTTTTTTTTTTTTTTTTTCTTCTTAGGTTATGCCGTAGTTAAGATATATCCATAATAATAATAATAATAATAATAATAATAATAATTATTATTATTGAAAATAAAATGTTGTTTTCGATACAAGTCAAGGTTACAACTATATTGCAGTATTATTAAATGTACGTAGATAAAAGATTAATGTATGTGTGAGCAGTGTGCATTGTAATTATGATGATGATATTGACGAAAATTGTTTGAGTTAACTATTATTATTATTAATTATTTGGGATGGCGTATTATTACTATTACTATTAATATTATTATTATTATATGGGTTGAAAACGCCGTCCTGTTATGAGTGAATGATATAATATGGTTATATTTAATTAAGATTATGTAAATTTGATGTAAGTGAAACAATTACTATTGTATCATGAGATTTTGTGTAAATAGGAGGTATAAATGTTACAGCCCTATTGACATCAATATTGAATTTATTTATAGTAAATTTTCTGAAATGCTAAAACACTTTGTTATTTATTTATTACTACCTTCTCCTAATTTTATTATTTTAAAACTATAACAGTCAAGTTGAAACAGGAGTAATTAAATTCAAAAATTTATATTTATATTTATTTATTTACTCAAATGGAAGGCAATCGATAAATTCGCAACAAATAAAAATAAATAACACTCTCTCTAGCAATAATTGTTGACCGTTACTTGAAATAAAAATAAAATATTATAAATCGAAACTCACATTAAAATAATATTTATAATTTCGTACCCCCTTGGTATTACATATTATTATATATAATAAATAATCTAGTATTTAAATCTAGGCTCATTGTCGAAATAAAGCATTAGATTACATTAGCAAAGATTATTATCAAGTTATTAAAAAGACACCACTTTCGCACAGCCCAGGCAATAGTCGTATACAATTAAATTATCAATTACACACTCATCAACATTACAACATTTATTACAATAAATCATAAATAACAAATTAATCTATATATATATATTGTTTGTTTATTTTATAAATTTAAACAATAATTAAGTAACGATCCTCACGATTCAGTCACACTCTTTATTTTAATATTAATAATTATTATTATTATTATTTATAAATTAAAATTATTCATAATTAGTTTTCACACTACGTTTATGTTTCTTCAATTAGACATACAATAATTATTGTTATTATTACTGTAATAATTAATAATAATTATATAATATATATTACAATATTTTACAAAAACAATAATTAGACGATTATTGTCATGGCAACGGGTGTTGACGGGGTAAGGAAGCGATTATTATTAATATTATTATTATTATTATTATTAATATTTTGACACATCCGATTTATTTTATGACAAGAACATTCTTTGAGACCCATTTATTTTTTATTTTATTTAATTCCAATAGAAACTTAAAAAAAAAAAAAAATGGTGGTGGTATTTGAGAATGCCCTTAAATAGAGTACTTAAAAATTTGTTTTTAATTAATTTGAAAATAAAATTATCGATTAAAGTAGAGCGAAAAATTGTTATTATAAATTCTCGGGCACTTTTATAACGATATTTAATTTTCTTTATGTATATTTAAATATTTATGATAAATATACGCGAATTTTTAAATGCATTAAAAAAATTTAGTTTATAAAATTTTTAAATTTCATTGTAATCATGAGCTTTAAATGCAATTCGAGAGAATCAGCGACACTGCGACTAATTATCAATAATATTTATAAATATTAGCTCTTTATTTATTTATTTGTTAATTAAGTTAATTAAGTAAATTAAGTAAAACGGAAATGAGGAACATTGCGTATTTGGAATGTCGGCTACTTTGTTCCTCTACTGCGAGAACTCAAATCAATTTATTAAAATAGTTGATAAATATTAACGGCAATCGAGAATCTGTAATAAAATTCCTCTTCAATCGATAATTTATTATTTATATATATATATATATATATTTATTATCTCTTTGGATATTAGCCGGTATCAAGTTTGTTATTTAAAAATAATCGCGACAAAAGGGCCGGAGGGGGGGGGGGTTGACTTTAATAAGCCACCGGCGGCAATTATTTTATCATGGTAATTTTTCAGATTGGCAAAAAAATTAACTTTTATTATTACTATAATTATTTCTCAATCGAGATTATATTTATTAAAAAATAATTAATTCAAGTACCGAAATTATTAAAAATTATTAGCGGTACATAATGTGTAAACGAAAACTCACAAGAAAAATTACAATCACGATAAAATTAAACATTTAACAAAATTGACAATTATTAATAATTTAATCGCTCGACAGTTTAAAGCATGGAATGTCACAAAACTATAAATAAATATCCGGGGAAAACCACAAATAAGTCGCCGTGTGCATTATTCTCTCCTGTCGCTTTGCCAGCGCATTACTTGCCCACTGATTATTATTATTATCATTATCATTATTATTATTATTATCAATAATTTCAATAAATATCACTAAAATATTACAATTGGTAATCACATACTCGGATAAAAACGCGTCGGAAGACGATTTTAAATTCAAGGCAAAATTATACTCTCGTAATCTTTGATTATTTTACAGGATTTTCGATCTAGATTTTTATACTAGTACACCCTTAATATTAAAATTAATTTTAAATTTAATTATCAATTATCAATTATCAAGCGACACACGGAGGCTAACTAGTGTTTCTAACTCTTAAAACCTCGAGGAATTTTTTTCTTTGGAGGATTTTAAATTAATCCGTCAACACTCGTACAAGTACTTATTTCATTCTAATCAATTTAAATTAAAAAAAAAAAAAAAAAAAAAAAAAAAAAAAATAAAATAAAATAAAAACAAAATAACTTTGTTTTTCATTTTTGTCATTCGAAAATTTAACTCTCTTGTTCCCTTTAATTTTTGTTATTGCAAAAAATTCATCTGTTAGTTACAATTATAAATTTTTTTTTATTATACAATTATAAATAATTAATTAATAACGCGCACTTGCAGTCTTGGTCCACGAGCTTTTGGCCAATTTTATAAATAAAATAGTTTTTTTTTTCATTTTCAAATAAATTTTTATAAATATAATTTGACTTTAAATTGAAAATATAAATAAAATGATTATTATTATTATTATTATTATTACAAGTACATTTTTGAAGAGCGCCGGCAGACCATTGACACGCAATAGTAATTTGTGGTTATGTCATTATGGTTAATGAACACGCTAGCGCTAAGTACAAATGGTCAGGTCCCAAAACCGGGATAATGTGGGCTAGGTCGCAAAGTCCAGCTTGTCCCAGGTCAGTGACAGATCGGAAGACATTTTAAAATCAGAGTCTTCCATGTTGAAGAGGTCGAAGGGGTCCTGGCTATTGGCAAGAAGAGGGTCGTACAAGTCAGTCACCGTCGACTGGGCGCAACCTGGTGACGGGTGGCTGGTACACTGACTCGTTGGCTGTAAAGTTGGAGGCGACTGAGGCATCAGCGAGTCCAGCCAGTCCGGGTCGTCCATGTCCATCGGCATGTCTCCAAGGTCCATCAACTCCTGGGGTGTTTCTATTTTTACTCCGAGGTCGCAGTCCAGCTGCCCAAAGTCCATCGTATCCAGGGTCTCCAAATCCAAGCCCAGTTCCTGTTTTTTTTTATTAATATAAAAATTAATCAGTTTTTTATCAACAGTTGATAAAAAAAAAAATAGAATAGTTTACTTACCTTGAGGTCAAGATTGGCATTATCGGAAGAAGTTACTTCCTGAGGAGGTTGTGGATCTGGAGAGCTCTGCTGGACAGACTGAGGACTGAGAAGCATCGCGGTGTCCAGATCGCTGTTGGAATTCAGTAGATCCGAGGTGAAAGCAGGAATTTCATCCTGGTGCTGGTGCTGATGCTGATGCTGGTGCTGGTGCTGGTGCTGGTGCTGGTGTTGATGTTGGTGTTGGTGTTGATGCTGATGTTGATGTTGGTGCAATGCACTGGGTAACTGTACTGCGAAAGTAGCCAGAGGAAGAGGAGGAGGAATCGGGGGAGAAGACACTGGGGAAGATGGACACCCACTCTGGCTGACGTCCATTGCCATTGGGCTGATTGGGTTTGAAGTGAAGACCAGATTTTGGGTCGCGCTGTCCGCTGGCGCCGAAAACACCAGGTTCTGTTGAATTTGCCGGTTCGGAGTCGTTGGAGTCGCTGGATCCTGGGCTGCGCTTGGTGGTAATTCCCCATTTTTTATCAAAATTTCTAAAACGTCGTCTACAACTTGGCTCTTTATGTGGTTCTTTTGAACTGGTTCTATTTTTACCTAAAAAATTAATTCATCAAGTTAATCTCCAATATTTTACAAAAAAAAAAATGATAGTCAATAAACGAAAAGTACCTTTAATAATTTAGCAGCTTCATCATACTGCGGGGGTGATTTATTATCTTCAATAGAAGTGATAGTAGTGCTGACAGGACGCTGCTGCTGCTGCTGCTGGGCTTGAGCAACAAGTGCGCCCAATATGGAACCATTAATCTTCGTAGGTTTTGATAAGTTCAGCACTATCGCGGCTGGCAATTGCACCGTTGTGTTGTTATTATTATTACTAATACTATTATTATTATTATTATTATTATTATTATTATTATTGCTATTATTGTGACTATTGTTATTAATAATATTGTTATTATTAATATTGTTGTTGTTATTGTTATTTTTGACTTGGTTCTTCTTATTGTTGATAGTGGTCAAAGTAGCAGAGTCAAGTATCGTGTTGGGTTGTGACTGTAGAAAAGCTGCGAGGCTGGCTTTAGCATTAAGCTGCTGGAAGGCAACGTGCTGTTGCTGCTGCTGTTGTTGGTGATTTTGTTGCTGCTGTTGGTTCTGTTTTTGGAGTTGGAGTTGTTGTTGTTGTTGTTGCTGTTGGTGCTGTTGCTGTTGTTGCTGTAGGTGTTGTAATTGTTGTAAGTGAAGAGTCAATTGTTGTTGCTGCATTTTGTTCTGAAGGTGCTGTTGAAGGACCAATTTCTCGGCCCGGACTGTCGAGGGTTGAGTTTGACGGATTTTTTGTAATTGTTGCTGCGACATGTACAGCTGCTGTTGTAATTCTTCAATTCGTTTACGTTGTTCTTTTATTATGTCGTCACCTGTAAAATTATTTTTTTAGTAAATAAAAATATAATTATTAATTAATTAATTAATTAATTAATATAATTTAATAAAATAATTACCAGGTGGACTAGCTGGATCATCATGCTCGCTATTATGTGGCGAGTCAATCCTTGGACTATGAGGTTCATCCTTAATCGGAGAGCCAGGGCTTTTAGCTTGAGAACTCGAATCATCGGAAGCGATAGGTCCCGGGGTGTCCATCAATATGTGTCCCATGTGGGTGATTATCGGGCCATTTGAGTTGGACAAATTGGTAGAGCTCTCCGTGAAGGGTTTTAGCCGTTCTATCAGCTGTGGCTTGGAACCCGAAACCGGGAGATTCCTCCTCTTGAGCTCAATCTTCAGGTCACTGACTTTCATGTCCTCGAGCTTTCCCAGCGGCCTCAGCGGTGGCTGTTCCGAGGGATTGTTCGAGGCATTAGATGGCGCTGGACTCGGTGCGTTCGCACTTCCTCCGCTGATGCTTCCCGCGTCGCTACCACTGCTTGTTAGCGATAATGGGTTTGGCGCTGCCGGAAGAATTATTTTCGGGTACTGAAATAAAAAAGTTTCAATAAATAAATAAATTAACATCAATCAGTTTTTAAAACTGTTAATTATTTTTTAAATAGTATAAAAGGAAAAAAAAAAAAAAAAAAAAAAATTGAAAATTGTAATTACAAGCTAGTTGTGTGTTAATGGAAAGTTTTAAATTTTTTTAAAAAATAAAAGTCTTGAGTAATATTTATAAATGCAAGTCTATTTAAAGCAGCGGAATAATTTAAGTAAATAGAGTTTGTAAAAGTTAAAAAAGACCGTCTGTCAAATTTTGTCGAGTTTTGCCTTATGGAATACATCATGAATCATGAATCATGAGTAATTGTTGGAAGAATAACAAGAGCTTTAAAGGGCTGTACGGATTTTAAATTGAAATAATTAAATAAATAAAAACTATTAAAAATATTAATTCGCACTCACTGGTACCTTGTGCTGCAGCTCAAGTTGCCACTGTAAGAAAAGCTGCTGTTGCTGAAGAAGCAGTTCGTAACTGGTTTCACCAGGTGCCCCGGATCCTAGACTCGAGGCTGCACACGATACCGATGGCTTTTGCGCGTTTGGCGGCCCCTGGCAACAATATTAGTTATTAGTTATTAGTATTTCAGTGTAATTAGTAAAGCAGAGAAGAAACTTGTAAAATAATAATAAAAAAAAAAAAAAAAAAAGGTATTTTAATTGTCTCCTAAAAATTCCTTAAAATAATCCGACTTTTTCCCTAATTATCCTCCGCTCACTAAAAATTACAACAATCATAAAAACTCTACAATAATTATCATATATTTTAATTATTTACACAAGCAATAATAATAAAATTGCCAACATTTAAAAAATAAAAATAATAATAATAATAATAAGAGAAAATTGTCTTAATCCGTTGTATTGAATTAGTCCTAAAATTGGAGCATTGACGATCCGCGTGTTTGGGTTTCACGAGGGCAATTAGTGCTCGAATTACTCAGTGCTAACGAGGTGGTCCCGTACACTCCCGAAGAGATCGCGAGAGTTAATCACTCGATACGATCTTGCTTCTACTCTGACACTTGTTCCATATATATATATATATATATATACAAAATAAAATCTTTACCGGGTGTTTTGGTGTTTCGCCGTCAGCATATATGTATATAATATAAATACGTATATCGTTAAGATTCACGGGGTTCTTTTTATTTTGATTAACTTTATTTATTTTGTACTTGTTATTAATCTGTTTTTGTGGCCTGGTTCACTACTTACTAACTAACATATTCTTATACTGTTACTCCTGCACCAGGAACGTTATCTTATGAAATTTTAAACCTGGACAAATGGCTCTTGGCATCTCTCCGACCAAATTTCTATACGAGTTACCTCAAGATTTATGTTATTACTTATTACACTTATACTACCCAATAACAACAATAATTTTATCTTTCAGAAAGTATTCGGATAATATTAATCACAGTTAGCAGATATCGACAGTAATAATTATTAATTCTTTATTGAAAAAAAAAAAAAAAAAAAAAAAAAAAATGTAAATGAGTATTATGTACCTTGTACTCATGAAACTTAATGGTACGAGTCTTGGGCTGATTTTTAGTCTTAGATTTTTTACGATTTTTGTCTTTCCCAGGCGCGTCGCTGCGCTGACAAACGGTGACGGATATCGGGCTGGGCTGAGGCCTTGGAGTTATCGCCTGAGGTGGAGGTGCCGGCGGTGACGCTATCGATATATTTGAGAGAGGACTCAGGCTGGACGTCGTCGAGCCCAGTGACATTGGACTAGGTGCAGGCGCCAGGGGCAACAAAGTCGTGGTGGGTCCATTCGTCTGACTAGCCTGTTGATTGTAAATTTTTATTTTTTTCTTTATAACACATTAAATCATAGAAAAGATATCAAACTACCTGAGTTTTATATCCAAATTACGACAACTCTATTTTAAGTGGTAAAAATATTATCTTGATTTTTTATAACTTAATAAATTTAAAATCAAAATTTTGAAAAATTTATAATAAACATTTTATTTAAAGTGAACCATTAAATCGATCCATAAAAATAAATTAAATAGTGAATAGAGATTGGATCGTAAACTGAAAATCGTCTTTAAGGCGCGACTTATCAAACGAGAGTACGCACGAAAAATAAACAAAATAGAGATTCCAGTGTCCCCGGGTTAACGATTAGGAGATACCGTCGGATTCTCAATTAAATTTAACAACCTTGGCGTACCTGAGACGAGGCGTGTTGGCTTTGATGCTGTACAAGTTGCTGGCTTAGCTGCTGTTTTTGCTGTTGGTTAATCTGCTGTTGTTGTTGTTGTTGTTGTTGTTGTTGTTGTTGATTACCGACGACACTGTTGCAAAGTTCCGCGAAGGTTTGTATCGTCTGGTCGGTTCCAGCGGCTTGCTGGAAGACCGGGGACGTGGAGGAAACCACAACAGCACCTCCGGTTGTAGGGATGCTCAGAGACACGGTGACTATTCCTGCAGAAGTCGCCGCAGTCTCCAAAACGTCAGTTCTCGACTCGATAGGCGGAGAGGGAACGCCTTCGGAACTTTGAGAGTCATCTTCGAAGGTGATGTAATGGTCTGGAGGCTGGGGTTTCGTCACCTGGCCTTCGCAGGTTGCTTTGAAGGGAATGTGGCCCTCTGGAAATATTTAAAATTTTATTAAAATAAATTTTTCAAATTTTTAAAATAATGTTATTTAGATGTAGCATAATAATACCTTTGACTGCCCTCTCAATGGGTTCTTCAGTGTGAAGAATATTCTTCTGAATAAGTTCAAGCGGACCAGGTCGATGACTGAGTTGATCGTTGAGCTGATCCGCGAGCCTGGCTTTCTTGAGCATCCTCTGTCTTTCAGCGAGACTCGGATCAACATGCCCGACATCTTCGAGTATGTGCTGCCTGACGAGCTCATCTCGACCGGGTCGTCGCTGTATCTTGGCCTTCAATAAATCTCCTGTCTTGGCGCGCTCTAATTGTTTTCGCTGTTCATGGAAAGCTGGTGGCGTTTTCGGCGCTAGAACATTCAAATTTTATAATTGTAGTTATGAGAATAAATTTTGGTACTACTATTAGGAACTCAATCATACTCGTCGCATAATTGGATAAACCATATATTATATATTATGTGTGTAATAATAAAGAGTACGCCAACTGGATTATATTGAGGGTGAAGTATAAATCTGTTAACGTCTAGCTCGACGTTAGTAAACATATTTTTTGATGCATATTAAACCGACGTAGACGGCGATCGCGAGTATAAGTTATTCCTTGATTATGAGTTCGCTGGCCCTCTTAGGTATATTATTATTTCATGTTATGTGTTATTAGGTTATTACTGTATTATATGTCCTCGTAGTAAGAGAAATTACTGTGCTTGTCGACGATTTTATTATTATATCTAGTTTCTAAATTAGACGTTTTATTTATTTATTAAAAAATTAAACATTATTAATAATAACAATGAAAATTATAATGATAAAATAACTTGAGCTTGCGAAAATAAATCTCTATTTAGTTCTATCTAATTAATATAACCCGTGACTAATCGCGGTAATGTAGTTTCGACTTTTAAAAATGACATTACAATAAATAATAGGCTATTCAAATTAACAACTGTGACTAATTAAGTACCTTATTACCCTACAATAAAAATAACATTTAAAATAAAAAATAATATTCAAGGTTACATTGTACATGTTGTGCCAAAACTACGCGCGAATAAACCCCTTGATAAAATCATCTAATTATATTTTATTTTTTGTCCAACCCGAAATACCCTCTCTCTATATCATATTTATAAACAGAAAAATTAATTCAAAAATATGTAATAATAATAATAATAATAATAATATTATTATTATTATTATTATTATTATAATTAAGGAGAAAGATACTACGTGGGTTTGATTGAGACAAATTAACGGATATGTTTTTAATATTAAATAAATAGAAAATATTTATAATTTATTTTATTCAAATTAGCTCTGAGAGTTATAAATATTTAAACACATTTTGTATCAGTTATTGTTATTATATATATATATATATATATTTTTAAAATACCGTTTTCATAGATTTTGACCTAAATGTTACAACGCTATAAATACATTATTTCTTTTTAATTCTAGAATTTAAGAAAATGTATAACATAAAAAATTACATTCTCTGATTATAAATAGACGGATATTTTTATTAAACGCAATTGTATATTACATAAAAAAAAAAAAAAAAAAAAAAAAAAAATTTAAACATTACTTTATTTTTTATATTAAAATTTTTTATTTAATTGATGATAAAACAAAAGCCGAAAATTTTTTATGAAATAATTGGAGAACCAACTGCGTTAATAATTTACGAGGCAGACCGTATGGAAAATAATAACTTAATATTACAGCTCTAGGAAACATAAATTTTAGTCTAGAAATTTTGGACTAGCCGACCTCATTTTATTCGCAATGACGCACCGAGATATAAAGGGACAGTACAACAATATCCTACTACGACAGTAAGACGGTAAATTACTCCCGAATGGCTCGATGAATTGTCAACAAGACCATCAATGATTCCTTAAACATATTTAATATTTAACTCTCTCTTTATCTCTTTATTATTGTATATCTTTTGGGAAAGCATAAAGTTTACTTTTTAATAAGCTCACTAAATATTAATATTTTTAGTCCAGTTGGCTTTAAAAAGTGTCCATGACTTGATCTAATTCGTTTCAATTTATTTAACCACAAAAAAGTAACTGTCAATTGAACAATCTAATAAAGTTTTTAGTCAATAAAGTTTATTGGATCTTGTTTAATTTCAATTGGTGTATTAATTGTTACAATTGTTGTAATTTTTATTTTTTTATTTTGAATAGTGATAATAATATACTTACATGGCATAATACCCTGAGCAACTAACTGGGTGATTGGCCTCCTTAGCATCAGCTTAACTTTGAGTGCTGGAACAGAAAAGAGGAAAAAATAAACATTAATGTTGATGACAAAAATAATAATAATAATAATAAAAATAATTATAATGAAAATGAAAAATAGCGGCGTGGTCGGCTGACTGGCTGGCTGGCTGGCTGGCACCTACGAGTTAATTAAAAAATTTGTTATTGCCAAAAAGAAGGTGCTCTAGATATTGGTGTCGGCAATAAGACACTCTACTCGTGTTAATGTAATATGTATACAGTACTCGGTTGCAAGTTGCCCGCGATCCGCGATAATGATCTCACTTGTATACGTTGTACGACGACGAGTCACTTATTTTTATTTTACATTTATATATATATATATATATATATATATATATATATATATATATATATATATATATATA